TGGTCCGACGGCAACTAACTAATACGTGAGGACATATTACGGCACAACCACACAATGATAATCTTACAGATAACGATTTCATATAAACATTACATCGATATTATATATAAGTATATTACGGTGTTCACGCCGTAACATGGGCCCACCTTGAAACACGGTTTCAAAATATAATACATATTATAAAAAAGAATAATTAAACAATATAAATGACTTATTAAATATAAATTATTACAAACAGGTTTCATATGATTTTACAATAACTAATAAAAATTATAATAATAAATGTAATCGAATAATTAGGTGATAGAACTAATGTTCACTAAATAGGTGAACAAACATCAAAAATAATACACAATATTATTGACTATCGCTACAATGAAGATAACAATGGTCGGTCATTAAATAATAAATATATATATATATGCATGTGCATCCATATGGATACTTAATAGTTGATATTAGCTGACCTATATAATATTTATAAATAGTGTGCTACAGTTGTACAGTTGTAATGAGGTAAATATGTATAGTAAAAAATTATATAAACAAAATTAATTAACACGTAACTGTGTGATTCATGTGTCTATGGGTAATGGACATAATAACCGAACAGCTCGCTTTTTGGATCCCAAATTCGTATGCACCGTAGCTACCCTTACGACACCATCAGGTCCTGGGTGAACATTTGTGACTCTGCCTAATGACCACTTTAAAGGAGGTAAGTTATTCTCCTTTATTAACACCATCGTCCCAGGTTGAATGGATGGTCCTCTGCATTTGGACCACTTGTTTCGTCCTTGTAGTTGCCCCAAATATTCCTTGCTCCATCGTGCCCAAACGTGTTGGACAAGTTGCTGCACTCTTTGCCATCGAGACAATCTATTAATAGACATATCTCTCACATCAGGCCCAGGCAGTGCGCGTAGTGAGCTACCTATTAGAAAGTGGCCGGGAGTAAGGACATTCAAATCCGTATGGTCCTCGGATAAAGGAATTAAAGGACGGGAGTTTAAGCAACATTCTATTTGTGTTAATACCGTATATAGTTCATCATAAGTTAACCGTGAATTTGCAATGGTTCGATTCAAGTGTTTTTTTACGGCCTTGACCGCAGCCTCCCACAAACCACCAAAATGGGGGGACCGAGGCGGTATGAACTTCCACGTAATTTCGTGTAGTGTTAACATGTCTTGAACGCGAATTTTGTGCTGTTCGGAAAAAAGAAGTGTGGACAAATCACTTAACTTTTTGTTAGCGCCCACGAAATTAGTACCATTATCGGAATATATGGTATGGCATTTACCTCTTCTTGATATAAACCGGTGCAAGGCAGCTATAAAGGCATCTGTGCTGAGATCACATACTAGCTCTATGTGTACAGCCTTACTTGCAAAACATAAAAAAATGCATATATATGCCTTCTGTAGCTGTGCGTTTCTACGTGCGTGCGACTTCATTAATATTGGTCCCGCATAATCAACACCCGTAGTTTCAAAACATCTTAGCGGTCGGTTCACTCTTGGTTTTGGTAGAACACCCATAATTGGTTCTACAATATTAGGTTTGTTTTTAAAACACGCAATACATTTATGGGCGACTTTTCGAGCGGTTCGACGACCGTTTATCGGCCAATATGTTAGTCGTACATTTGCCAACATTGCTTGGGGCCCAGCATGTAATGACATTTCGTGCTCGTTTCTAAAAATTAGTGTATCAAAATGACACGAATATGGTATGATAATAGGATGCTGTTGGTCATAAGTTAAATCTGTCGCGTTTCCAAGTCGGCCACCCACACGCAATATACTGTCGTTGTCGAAGAAAGGATTTAATGACTGCAATTTTTTATTTTGAAGCGCTTCCCCAAAAAATTGATTTTGTAAGAGCCTAATAAATATTTTTACCGATTTTTGGATCTCGTCATTGCTGAGTGGACCCGAGTATCTTTCTTTTGCTCTTAATTTACTTGAAATATTATGCACATACCTCAATGTATAGGCAAAAACACGCTGAAACCGATTTAATTTTGAATATTTTTCACACAGTTGTATAAAATAATTTGCCTTTACTTCAGCGACCATTACTACTGTGTTCGACTGCTTTCGCTCTTCACATAGTGTCTCCTCATCTTCGTGTACTTGATAGAGTTCTTCACATCTCGCGTGCTCGTCCGTCAACCATGCTGGTCCGTTCCACCACAATGTACATTTTTGTATATCTTGAACATCACATCCCCTGGATAAAATGTCAGCCGGGTTCTCCTTCGTATTAATATACGACCATGAATACTGTGATGTTAAATAATGAACCTTACTCACACGATTTGCAACGAACGGTTTCCAACGCATTGCATCCGATGCGATCCACGCTAGTACCACCTTAGAATCACTCCAGCAATAAATATTCGTAACATTAATTCGTAACGCTGGAACTATTTTTTTTATTAATTTTGATAATAGTAAGGCAGCGCATAACTCTAATCGCGGTATTGTTATTATACTAATCGGCGCAATTCTTGATTTTGCGCATATTAGTTGTGAGTGGCGACTACCGTCCGCGCGCGTGCATACTACATATAAACAAGCCCCGTACGCTTTGCACGATGCATCGGCAAATCCGTGTATATATATTTTTTCTGTGTCGTCACACTGCAACCAGCGCGGGACACTTAGATTATTGCATTGATTTAAATCCTTTAAATATTTTTTCCATTTTATTTGAATTTCTGTTGATAATTCATCATCCCAATTTATTTTTAATTTCCATAATTGTTGCATTAATATTTTAGCTACCACGATAACCGGTCCGAGCAATCCGAGCGGGTCGAATAGACGTGCTATATTAGATAAAATACTTCGTTTGGTTATCTTATGTTCAGGTATTGGTAACGACACTTTATAAATGAAACTATCCGAGTTTGAATCCCAATACAAACCTAATGTTTTTATTGCTTCAGTTTCCATATTTAACGAGTATAGTGAGTTTTCATTAGGAATTGGTATATATTTTAATAAATCGGCATGATTAGCTGTCCACTTGCTTAATTCAAATCCATTGTTACTTAAACATTTAATTAATTCATTACGCAAATTTAAAGCCTCCGATAATGTTGAGGCGCCCGTTAAACAATCGTCAACACAAAAATCATGCTTTATTATCTGAGCTATCTCCGGCCGTATTTTATTTACATCCGCTGATTTATGAAGACACGCAACCGATAAGAAACTTGCAGGTACCGTTCCGTAAGTTACTGTACACAATCTATATTTCTTAATAGGCTCATTAGGATCACTGCGCCACAATATGCGCTGATAATCTCTATCTTCATTATCAACCCATACCTGCCTATACATTTTTTTAATATCAGCTGAAAATGCATATTTATGTGTACGAAATCTCGTAACAATTAATGTGAGGTCATCTTGTAATATAGGACCTTTTAACAATACATCGTTTAGCGATAATCCAGATTCTGATTTGCATGAGCCGTCAAATACCACTCGTAATTTAGTTGATCGGCTACTATCATTAAGAACGTAAGAGTGTGGCATGTAATACGTTTTCACTGATAGGTCATTGTTCTCATTAACTTTCTCCATATGTCCCAAATGCTCATATTCTTCCATGAACCCTTTATATTGACTATATCGCGCGGGATTTTTCCCGAGACGACGCTCTAACGATAAAAATCTTTTTAACGCTATGTTATATGACTCGCCTAACATGTCTACATTATCTCGAAACGGCAATTTTACTACAAATTTTCCCGTGGAATCTACTGATACATGATCTTCAAAATGTTTTCTACAAATACTATCTTCCGACGTTTCGTCCATATTTGCATTGGAAAATTCTTCGATTTTCCAAAATTCTTCAATATCCTTTTCCAAATTTGAATAATTATCTTCACTTATTACAAAACAAGCCATTGAATTATTTTTTGATGAAATTTCATTCACTGGTCCTACAATAATCCAGCCGAACATTGTTTGCTGCAAGTACGGACCCATTGTGTGCAGTTTGAAATTTCCCGAGCACATTATTTCCCAATAGGTGTCGGCACCAATCAATAAATCAATTTTTTCCGGCTTAAAACACCTAGAATCTGCCAACATAATATCCGTGGGTATAGACCATTTGTTAGTATCGATATTGTTGGTCGGCAGTTTTCCGGTAATTTTTGGCAATACCAGCATGTCTAAGGTGGCAGAATAATTATTTATACGTGACCTAATAGACGCGGTTACCTGATACGCGGCATGACTCATTACCTCATTTATACCTGTTATTGATTTATTTATTTTTGTTCTTGCAAGACCTAATCGCTGTGCCATTGCTTCGGTCAAAATATTTATCTGTGAGCCGTTATCTAGTAATGCCCTGCATACAACTAGTTCGCCGCATGCATTTAATATAATATGTACCTCTGCAGTCGCTAATAGTACTTGTGCGCGCGTTTGACCACGGGCGGCGTGACTCACCACCACTTCCGAATTAGACACATTTGACGTAGACGGATTTTGTACAACTTGTGGTACATCACCATGCAGCAACGTATTATGCGCTTTATCACATTTGGAGCATACCCTTTTCGACCTGCACACCTGTACATCCGTGTGGCCCGTACTCAGGCAATTGCGACATAGGTTTAGTTCATCAACCTTTAGTGCTCTTTCATTCGCATTGAGCGCGATAAATTTTTGACACTTGTAAATAGGATGTGACTGTTTGCATAAATAACATGCTAAACGATTGGTAGCAACAAATGCATTTACTTTTTTATTATTTTTAAATTGGACGTTTTTATCATTTGGATTGCGATAATTTTGCTTAGACTGCGTATAATGCGACGTATTTAATTTATTCGATAAATTTTTTGAGGTATCAATCGCCTCTAATATTTTACACCGTTCATTTAAAAATGTTGTCAACTCCGATATAGAGGGTAATATATCTTTGGTCGCCACAGATTCCCAATTACGTATGGTATTATAATCTAATTTAACTAGAATCACATGCAATAGTAACGCACCCCAGGCATCTGGATCGTGGCCTAACGCCTTTAAAGCTTGCATATTCTGGTTTAAATCAGCAGTAAACTTCCTTAAACACACACTCGACTCCTTTTGCATAGGTTCTAATTCATATATATTTCTCGTATAAGATTGTATGAGAATACGCTTATTGTCATATCGTTCTACGACAGTGTTCCATGCAATCGAGTAATTGTCACCTGTGGTCGCTAAATTTTGTATCAGAGCCAATGCGTCCCCATGCAAATACATTCTTAAATATACAAATTTTTGTACACCTGCTATAGTTGAATTTAAATGTACCATGGTCAAAAATAAATCTTTAAATGTGGACCACTCTTCAAATTTTCCCGAAAACGACGGTAATTCTAACGGCTTAATTTTTATCGCCGGGTCACCTCCTAGCGCAAGATTGCCCGGTATACTCAACCTGTTTATGCCATTACCTACATTTGAACCTTGTACCATAGTCTCTGCTTTTGCAACTATATCAAAATATAAATTTACAAACGTATCTCTGTAGTCCAATTGCTCATTACTGATATCTATTGCCTCGATATTATTCTGAACTACATCAAACTCAGTCCAAAGTTCTTTTATTTTCTCTAGACGTATCTTTATCTGCATGATATTGTTATCCACATCTACATTATTGATATATGTTTGGAATTTTGTCAGCTGCGCCTTTAATTGACCTCGCCTCAATACATAGACGGCCAATTCATTTGACTGACTACTCTGCATTATTACGTTTTTGGTTTTTCCCTTGATTTATATTTTCAACCTTATGAAAACTTTATTTGTATATATACGTTTTTAATTTTTTTTTAGAATGTGCCTAAAGGAAAATGAATGGAAACTTGTGCCCTTATTTTCTAATATTTTTAGCTCACTCACCTGGTTGTATGTCGACCGATGAATGTTCAGCCACTGCACACTAGAGCATTGAAAAACAGGACCACTTTGACAATTTTTTCTTCTTTTTTGATTGTTCGATTTGACTACAATAATGCCACTGCACGGTTACTGTGTCCGCGGGGACGTTATATTTATTTATATGTATTCAAACCGAACTAAAGAACAACATACACTTCAAAATTTGAACTAGATAATATGTCCACTGAACGACAACGAATTCGCGGGACGTATTTACGCAAAATGTATTGCTAGTCAATCCGGGTCGAAGGACCAAAATGTTTGTTTCTAAATAGATTGTTTTTATTGAACAATACCAAAATAAAAAACT